CGGCGACGGGTGACTCCAGCCGGAGCGCCAACTGATTGGCCGACGGCGGAGGAAAGGAGTGACGTCCTCCCAACCGACGTCCAACCCCATTGGCTAACACCATGGTCCTTCACTTCCCTGGGTAGGCGCTGTTTGTGACGCAGCGCAAGACCCTGGGCGCTGATTGGCTGCGACGCGGCAAGGGCGCCCTCTGGCACGTGGGGCGGCGCAGGGCCCGCGCTGCCCACTGCTTAAACGTTTTTAACGGTTTTTCTTTTTTTCTTATTTTTTTTTAATTTAATTTGAAGAACATACCCATACAAAACATATTTGTAACTCAACGAAGTACCACAGGCAACGATTCACTTCCACGCGACGCACAACCCAGCGACACAGGCACCGGCGCCAAAGTGCAATCCCGCTGCGACCAGCGACTGCAGGAGGGCGCTGCCTGCTGCTCTTCCCCGACGTGCGTAACGGACCGGCCCTTGAGCGGCCACCGCTCCTGCCCGCCAGCTCCCAACAGGGAACTTGCCAGGTTCGACCCTGGAAACATGCACGGAGCCCGCTGGAAGAGTGAGGGGCGCTGCTTCTGTCAGTCGCTTTTCTAAGCAGAATCACAATTTAAGGCAACACGTATGCTGAGAATTTACAGTCTTCAGATCTCTTGAGGGATTTCGAGGGTGGTGGAAGAGAAAATGTTTAGAGAGGGTGTGTGCATCTGTGTACAGAAGGGCTGCAGGGCTGCCCTTCATGTCAGCACATAGAGGAAATGAAAGGGGCTCTAGGTGACAGCCAGTCAACCTGATCCAGTCACCAGCTCTTGCTTTCTCCTGGATCAGTAGAAAGCCTGTGATGCCCAAGTTGTAGCAAATAGCAGCACTGGGCAAACAACTAGAGGTCATGAGAGCCCTGGAGATGCACTAATGGAATGTAGAGTTTGTGGAGCGATGGTGATCTGCACCAGGTGAGAACACGACATTTTTTCTTAACAGCATGTAAGAGCTACCACACCAATCCGTTAGATCTCTTGGTAGCAGTAGCATCACCAGCATGGTCCACTATTCACAAATAGGTGCAAGAACCCCCTCTCATGTCACTCACCTCCTCTGTTCCCCAGCCTCTCCAAACATGAAGCAGAAGACTTATGTAAAGTGGGGTTTCACAGAAACAACAGCCAATTTGAAAAATCGTGAACTTCAGGTACATCAAGGAACAGCCCTGGCCCAGTCCAGGGTATAAGTAAGCACAAGTGCTGAGGGATATTCTCTTATGTTCCAAGTGATTGAAACATGTGTCTGTGTGGGGGTAAGAGCCTATTCTCTCTTGCCCCTCCTCTATTCCTACAATTCACAGGGACATTGTAAGGTTGAGCTCTAAACTGCTCTTGATTTACAAGTGCAAGGCCTTGAGAAGTGACAGGCCTTGGGAAGGGAGTGGCAGACAGGTACTTATGGCTGACAAAGAGGGAGCAATAAAGTGCACACAACCTACCAGTCAACACTTGTAAGATCTCAAGGTGACTGGAGGGGAAATAAAGTAATACAGGTTGAGCTTTTTAACAACATCAAAACCCACCTCAAACTTTCTTGATGGGATATAGTGCAAATAGGAGAAATACTGATCATGCTTTATAAAACACAGGGGCTAGCATTTCAAGATGTTTGGTGTGGGAGAACTGTGTGGACAGCAGGGCCAGTTCCAGTACGACTCTCAGTATGTCCTACGCCTTCTAGGCAAGATGCTCATCCACTGTGGAGGGAAAGGTACAGAATCACAGAATGGTTGAGGTTGGAAGGGATCTCTAGAGATCATCTAGTCCAACCCCACGACATGGCAGTCTTGTACATAGCAGTCCTCTGTGGAAAATGACTAATTACCCTACCTACACTCTAACTAAAAAAAAAATCTCTACTCAAGTTGCACAACTGGCCATCATTCAAATGCTGGGGAAAAAAAAAAAAAAATTGTTTGTGAAGTTTCTCTAGAGTACCGCTTCTGGATTCAGCATACGAGCAAATCTGCGAGGACACATGGCAAACACCATGCAGTAGTCAGAGAGTCTGCACCAGCCTGCTGCAGAATGCAAGTGTGTCATCTCAGAAGAGGGACCTGATATTTTAAGTTTTCTGGGCATTCTTGCATTCTCTTCTTGGACATTGCTGCACATATTGGTCTGTGAGATAAAAAGAAACACTGTCTTCAGGCAACTTTGAACTCTGCAAGTACAAAGCAGAAGCCTCAGAATCACTGGATTTCAGCTCCTGGCTTAGCCTCCACAACACATTGGTCCACTTTGTAACAGCAAGATCTGAGCAGGTCTTTGGCAATTTGCGATCAGTGGAAGGGTTGGGCATGAAAAAGGTACATGGAAAAGGGAAGAGTCCTGCTGTAGATCTCTGTTACAATATTGTCACAACAGCACCTATGGATTTCAGTGTGGAGTGAGAAGGTTAAAGTTCATCCTTTGCATTAACAACATGCTGCAATGGACGGACTGGCATTGCATGGTCTTGTAGCAATTGGTCCTGTGACCCCTGGTGGCTGCTGAGGAGTCTGTCGCCTGTAAAGTCCGTAACAGTGTAGTTCTCCAGCAGGCCAGCTTCCATGGCATGGCCCTGGAGTCTCCTTGTGCCCACAAGCCCCTGCATTCTTACATATCCCTGCTGACAGAAGGGAGGCAGCTTCTGGCGGGTGAAGGCAAACAGGAAACAGGATTCTGCAGGGAGAAGGACCAAAAATCAGACTCAGCAGAGACACCCTACAGAGAGTAATTCCTATGCTTGAAAATGCTTCAGTGCTTGAAAACTTATTCAGAACAAAAGGGAAACGGGATCAAGGACAGGAGTCAGAAGTCTTCCACCTGGTACTCTGTCCTGCATGGCAGCAGAGTAACCAACTTGATAGTGCAGAGCTTGGGAGATGTAGGATGGCATCCCTAGTCTGCACTTTGACAGGAAAAAAAAAAAAAAAAGAGCTGAATTTGAGTTTCTATCCCCTTGTCATCTTCCTGGTAGCCCAGAATTGCTTGCCTCTGCGTGCCAAGTGGGTTTCCTGTGTTAGGTTCCCAGAGAAGAGTTCTCCAGTTGTAACATCCCAGCAATCCCTCTCAACAACAAATCCCATCAGCAATATGTGAAAAGAGAACTGGTACCCAACAGTACAAGGGAACATTCAGATAATGGAAGAGGAGATAAAACTGCAGCTTGAAAAGGGAGTGAACTGAACCTAGTATACTTTTCCCTAAAACAGGGTGTTCTGTAGGTAGTCACTTTCTTTCTGGTGGTGACCAAGAGCACAAGTTATTTGGGAACATAGACACACACCAGCACTTCTCACTGTCTGGGGAGCATATCAAAGAGGTGAGAGATCACTAGCTCATCACAGGGAGATCTCAGCTAGAGCATCAGAGATTGCTCCTGTTGTACATCCTTCGCATCCCTCCTCTTCCTGCTGCCACTTCTGCCCATTGCTGTCATTACCTGCAAAGAAATTGCGCAGGTCAGTGCCTAGGCAGTTCTCCAGGAAACGTCTCAGTGGCAGGATGTGAGCATTTGGGGCTGTCCAGTCTGTCAGAAAATCCTCCACGATGTGATGGATGGCATCTGGGCGGGGGAGAGGCCAGTCGGGGGGGCGAAATCTCATCTCCCGCTCTGCCAAGAGAACATTAAAGGAATCTCTCAGAATCAAAATGGCATTAAAATGGGCTTGGGGAGAGGAAAGCAGCAACAGCAGCTGTTCCAGCTCCTGCCTTGGCCTTCTGATCCTTACCTCATTTGCAATACCCTTTGCTAGTTCCATCCTGAACACCCCTGCCACTTTACAGTTAGCCTTGACTGTAGCACTTCCTGTCATTTCAGTTCTGTTTCTTCAGCCCTGTTCCCTCTGGGTAGGGACTACCAGTTAGGCTGAACTGTGTGTAAGCTTTAATGCTGTTACCCATCACCCTGCTCTCTGAGCAAGTCAGGCCACAGCCTGACCCTGTGTTTCTAAAGATGAAGTTTCAGCACATTCATTTCCCCAGGAAGTTTGTTCTGAGCATGTTTGTTTGCTGGAGGTAACATTCATTTTCCAACTCTTGCCTTTGGCAGTTCCCATCACCACATGACCCCTCAGACCTGGGCAGAAAACAGAGAGCAGCTTCCTTTTGGCAGTGACATTGAACCCTCCAGTCATGACTGCCAGGACTCTGTAATACAGATGCACTGCAGGGTGCTGGGCAATGTTCATGGTGGCCTAATGGCTCTGGAGTCTTTTGGGGAATAGGGAAGTTCGCCAGCACCTTTGTTTGTCTCTCTTCTCAAATATGAGGTCTTTAGTCCTACTGCTCCATTTCCCTATGACTGATGGAAACTTCTTGCCATTTTCCAGCTTTTTCTTTAGCTCATGTAGTGATAGCAGATATGTCCTGGAAGACGGACACGAAGGAAGTGGAGAAGGAAAGTATGCAATGCATTTGGGTACTTCCTCTTTGGCCCTAAAGTATCTTTAGCCCTCTTGATTTTGCTCATTTTAGATAACTACCAAAGAGAGGCTGGAGAACTTACCTGTTGGGAGGCGTTTGTAATAGTAAATGACAGGGTGCAGAAAGTTGGACTGCCAGGCGTGCTGGGCCTCCCCTACAGCTCGGTTGTAGTAGAAGACATCTTTATCAGCCCCAGAGAAGTTCCTCCCGTACTCCATGATGATGACAAACAGCCCGTTGGCAGCTTTTCTCCCTGTCTGTGTTTCCAGCTCAGCCAGGACTCCAACAGGGTATTCTTCAAGGTATTCAAATGCTGTAGCATTCCTAAGAGATACAACCACACCTGTGAGACTTTTCTGTCTGCGAGACTGAGAAAAACTAACTGATCCATCTGTCCCTTGGCTGATAGAGAATAGGGCCAAAAAGTCATCAGATTATAGTATTTTTTTGGTCATTACAGACCTGTGCTGCACTTGATGCAGAGCTTACAAAAACTGCATATGCTATTAAAGACTCCATTATATTCCCAGACCATTCCCCAGATATCCCTCTACATCAGCATAGCTCAGGGAAAGCTCTTGAAAAGGTACTACACCTCTGAGCCCAGCAGGAAGTTCTGGACCATTTCAGCCATTTAGGAGAGAGGAGTAATTGGCAGGATGGGATTTGGTGACACCAGCTGGGGTGGCAATACAGGGCCTGAGGTGGCTACCTACATGATGCTGACGCCCCTGTATAGCAGTGGAGCAATTTGTATGTGGCACTCTGGGAATTAATGGTAAAGGAAAAGGGATTAAATGATGGAGTGCAGTGCTGGGAATAATTACTCACTCACTCACTCTCTCAGCAGTATGATGTCAGCCAGGACACTGAACATCTGGTAGAGGCCTGAGGCCTCATTCACCCGCTTGATGATGGAGTTGGTCAACTGTGTAATAGGGTAGACCGTGGATGGCCAGGGGACACCATGGTGACGGTTTTCCAGTAAGCGGTGGACTGCACGAGCTAAGACATGAGAGAAATAAAGGCATCTGACTTAAAAATCCAAGCTTATACTTTTAAGAAACATGCAGGCTCTGCTGTAATATACACAGATACTGTCAGGACACAGTAAATAAGCTTTGCAGTTCAGCTGTGCGCCGGCTCTTACTGCTCACCACTCAGATCACTGCTAATTGCAGTACAGAAGCCCTCAGAAAGCTAAAGCAATAGTAAGTGGTTGGCAATGGGCAGAGGTGGGGTCTTCATGGATATTTCATTACTCCTTGGCAGCCCTTTAATGAAAAGGATGGGCACAAAGACACAAGTTCTGTCTACTGGCCAAAGCTGGTAGGTTTTAGCTCCAAAGCACAGACCTCTAACCCAGAGCCCATCATGAGGCAGAGCATCTGGCTGGCAGAAATGTTTTCTGTTACATAAATAGGAGACAATGAGCAAGAGAGATACAAGACAAAACAAAGACAGACAATGAAAGACTTCAGATATGATCCCAAATCACTTCCCTCGCCTCTCCTCCGCTTTGGACCTTGCCATGCAGCTGTAACTTGGCTGTGAGTTATTCTTCTCACTGTTAGCACCCGATTATGGGTGAACTCTTTCCAGCAGTAAGATATGAATTTTTCCTTTGAAGCCTAGGGCTGAACCCCAATTCTGCCCCTTCTGTGCACCCCGTTACTCACTTGTGTACCGGAATCCATGGATGAAGCCCCCGGCAGATTTCCTGAAGTCAACAGAGTGGCTAGCAGTGCCAAGAATGAAGAGCCCCCGCGTGCCTCTGGACTCGTAATTGGGTTTGATCTGAGGATACTTATTTTTATTCCCTTTTCCTGGCATCAGTCTAAGGGATCTAATGCACAAAATAGAAGAGCAGGATGTTAGGAGGGAGACGGGTAGAAAAATAAATCATTTTTGATGAGGCACAAAACTGTTGTCATTTTGAAAGATATGCACAGAACTTCATGTCTCCACTGGGTTCAGTGGGATTTAGTATTTTCTGTAGCACTAGGAAGTCAATAAGTGTCTTCCAGAAGCCAAGTGTGCTCATTTCAAGAGAGCTCTGGACAAGATCAAATTACAGCCTTAATCCTGACAGTGAATTTTAAAAGAGAGCAAAACTATCAATATTATCTTCAGCTGTAGGATGTACTGGGAGACAAACTAAGATGGAGTGAAGAATGCATCCTCAGTGACAGAAAGCAGACAAAATGTTTTGTACTGATCTACATCTATACCATCCTCATTCAAAAAATGGCTAACGGTCTCCACAAGGAAGGGCTGAGAGAGCTGGGCCTGTTCAGCCTGAAGAAGAGAAGGCTGAGAGGGGATCTCATCAATGTATATAAGTACCTCAAGAGAGGGAGTGAGGAGGATGGTGCTGGCCTCTTTTCAGTGGTGGCCACCAATAGGACTAGAAGAAGCATCTACAAACTGAAGCACCAAAAGTTCCACAGGAACTTAAGGAAAAATTTCTTGACAGTGAGGGTGACAGAGCACTGGAACAGGTTGTCCAGAGAGGCTGTGGAGTCTCCTTCTCTGGACATCTTCAAAACCCGCTTGGATGCCGTACTGTGCCACGTGCTCTAGGTGACCCTGCGTGTGCAGGGAGGTTGGACTAGATGACCTCTAGAGGTCCCTTCCAACCTTAAGCATTCTATGCTCTGGGGAGCAAAGATCTTCAGTTCTGAAGGCACAGGCCTTTTCTGTCTGAGCCAAGTCACAAAAACACCATTTACTCAGCCCTATAGTCTGTCTGTCAGAGGACAGAGGTACATGTGCTGCCACTGGCTCATGGATGTAGCTGCAGAGTGAACAAAGGACCGTGCAGCACCAGATGACTCAGGGGACACGGAGGACTAGGCAGTAGCGTCAGGATAGGAACCTTGAGCATCCCCTTTCTTCTCTGGTTGGACCTTGCAGAGTCTACCGCTATAGATATCTCCTTCCCTCTAGAAAATGTTTTTTTTATTTTTTATTTATTTATTTATTTTTTTACCTCACCTGTTGTATATAGCGAAGTCAAATTTCCAGCCCAGGCAACGAATGACACGGTCATAAGGTGCACGGGTGGCAAAATTATCCAGCTCATCCTGCGGGAGGGTGATGGAGTCAATGCCTGCGCTGGTGTTTCTGTTCTCCAGGTAGTAACGGAGCGTGATGTGCAACTTCCCTTTCTTGTCTTTGACAATAGCCAGATCTTCTAGGTCGCCCTCCAGAAGCCCGTCAAGAGATTTGAGCTGGTATGTGTCCAGCAGGCCATTGTTAATTGCTCTACGAGTGAAGGGGAATGTAAAAAACACTACAGGAAGGGAGGAGGTGCCATCTAGGATTTACTCCCAGCTCCTGGACACTGCACAAGTTTACTCAGGATCCCACTCTCCTCTTCAGGATGAAAGTGAGCCCTGGTGCCACTAGCCTGGCGCTAACGGGAGCAGTGCTGGTAACACACTCGGAGAGGCAGTGCCAGGCCTCACTCCCGTAACCCATCAGGGTGGTTACCCCTGTGCACCTAGCAGAATAAAAGGGGAGCCCAACCACTCGCCTGGCCCCTGAGCAGTCATTAATGCATTCATTTTCAGAGCATTTCTGCGAGGCACAGGAGTGCCAGTAGCCTTATCTGAACGATGGGGCTTAGAGCCTCACCACCATCTAGGAAGTCTGTGGCAGAGCAAGTAGCTGGATGTGGATCTGCTGAGCCCCAGACTTGTACTCAGATTACTGAGCTGCCCTTGCACGGGATCATGTTGGGAGCTAGCACTTTTTATGATATATTTCTACAGAAACATTTCCATGTTTCACACAGGTCAGTGAAGAGCTCTGAAAGCTCCTGTGTGCAGAACCTGCAAACTTGGGCTGGTTCTAAGCCAAGGACCTAAACACAAACGGCCTCACATTTCCTTAGTGACCCTCAGGACCACAGTGCCTGCTGTCCCAGTCCAACGAGTCTCCTGGGCAAGAAGTGATTCTCCCCTGATAATACTCCAGCTGCATTAAAAAGAAGAAGACGTTTCCTACCTCAGGTCTCCAACGTAGTGGGTGGCCCAAGAGAGACGAACACGGGATCGGCTCACCATGTGGATGAAATTCGTGACGCCCAGAATGTTCTCTGCTGTCTCAAAGGCAGAGTTCCCTCGGCCCAAGATCAACACAGTTTGGCCAGCAAAGTCCTCTGGATTGATGGACACAGTCTCATAACCCTCAACATACTCTGAGCCAGGGAAGTTCACCACGTTGGGGACCCATGTGCCAGTGGCCACCAACAAAGAGCTGCAAAAATACAGACACCATTAGGGCATAGAGGAATCGGAGCATCCTTCCACCTCCTCACTCCTGTCTCCTCCTCCCTTTGCAAAAGACCATTCTAAGGTGCCACTTCCAGCCACAGTGAGTCAGCTGCTTGGTGCAACTGGTGCTGTGGTCTGGACAGAAACCTCTCCCCAGCTTCTCTTAATGATCTACTCCTATTTTTCCTGTCACTAAGCCAATGAAGACTAGTAATGTCCTTTTAGCAAAAGTCCATGCATCAGCTGTACAGATTAGCTCCACTCTTTTCCTAGGTCTCCCTTGGTAGTTCATTAGTATTCATATATTGCTCATACATACTCACAATATTTATTAGAATACCAAAGCGTTTCATAAGTTGATTATATGTTGCATATTTTGATTTAAAATTTGCATTGGCTTTTAGCAGCGGAACAAAAGTAATTTTAAAGCGCAATAGAAAATGGTTTTAATATTTTAAAATTTAAGTATTACTCATAAAAAATATGTTATCAGAATTAATACTAATCGCTAACACTAAAAGTATGGTAATCTTTTTAATATCTCACTGTAGGAACTGCTATGTAAATTTTAGGGGATTTTTTACGACATACGAGGAAATAGCAGATAGTTCAAGGCAGCAGCACTGTCTGCTGTTCCAGCCTTGTTCCCACAACTCGTAGAGTAATTCACTCATGCTGTGTGGTGCCCAAGATTACATGTCTGTCCCTGATTTTTTTCTTAAACATATTTGGGTTAGCTGAGGTGGAAAGTCACTGTGCTGATTGACACAATTTTGGAATAAAGGCAGTAGTGGCTATGGCGAGTACAACTGAGTTATTTTTTCACCCAAAGCAAGAGTCTTGTGATAGAAGACATGATTTCAAGCTTACGTATAAAGCATGGAAATTCTGATGGTGGAAACCACAGGCAGTGAGATAGGTTTGTGCGCTGTGGGATATAAGGTGCCACCACTCACCAACCACCTGCTTTTTGGCAATGCAAACTTCTGCTCTGACACCTCCTCATGGAAGGCAACACTTTTCCAGGAGCAGTTATTTTTCTCATCTGCTCCATATATCATTGCAAATATTTTTGGCCATGCTGGCAGATAAGCCTTTGCGCAAAGCCTCTGAAAGGCCACGAAATCTCCATCCTTGGAGATGGTCAAGCATTGAATCACAGAATCACAGAGTGGTTGAGGTTGGAAGGGACCTCTAGAGATCATCTAGTCCAGCCCCCTGCACCCCTGCAGGGTCACCTAGAGCACATGGCACAGGGTCAGATCCAGGCGCCTTTGGAAGATCTCCAACAAAGGAGACTCCACAACCTCTCTGGAGGAGGCTGGACAAGGCTCTGAGCAACCTGAGGTAGTTGGCCCTGCTTTGAGCAAGGGAACAAAGCAACATTTAGATTTTTTTCCCCAACCTTTTTGATCCAATTGATTCTGAGACTCTGAAGTCACTTGTGGAGAGCTGCATAGACAGTCCTCAGCTTGCCCATTACCTGCACTTGTACTTCTGCCTGTTCTGGTCCGTCAGGACGAAGTAGTGGCCGTTCCAGGCCTGCGGATCTGCGTCCAGCGTGACATGGATGATGGCCGTGTTGTACTGCACCCGCAGCTCCAGCAGGGCAGCGAAGTCCTCCAGGTAGCGCACCATTGCGTCGGC